ATTTGCAATACACATCACCAGAGCATCATCAGCAAAAAGCAAATGTGAAATAGAAGGTCCAGACCTTGAGATTTTAAGTGCTTGAAAGTTTCCTTTAGACTCTTCTGATTTCAGGAGTTTTGAGAAAATTTCTGCTACTAAAATGAATAGATAGGGGGATAGAGGATCCCCCTGTCTAAGACCTCTTGTAGCTGAAATGTATCCTTTTGCTCTGCCATTTATATTGAACGAGAATGAAGTAGATGTGATGCATGCCATAATCCATTGTACGAACTTTTTATGAAAGCCCATTTTTGTTAAGATAATATGAATGCATCCCCATTCAACTCTATCGAATGCTTTTTCTAGGTCAAGTTTGACAGCCATATAACCTTTGGACCCAGAAGAATGATTATTTAGAAAATGAATGGCTTCCTGTGCTATAATAACATTATCAATAAGCATCCTGTCGGGAACAAATGCAACTTGATTTTTACTGATGCAATTTTCAAGACAAGGCTTAAGCCTAGTTGTCAGAATTTTAGATATGATTTTATATGAGACACTGCACAGGCTTATTGGTCTGAAATTGGACAATGAGAGGGGATTAGGACATTTCGGGATTAAAGTAATTAATGTATGGTTCCAATTTTTTAATATCATTCCAGAATCAAAAAAACTTTGAATTGCTGCACACAGGTCAAATTTGATGACTTCCTAGAATGTCTGAAAAAAGATAGGAGACATACCATCAATTCCAGGGGCTTTACCGGGATTCATACTAAACAGTGCCTCTCTCATTTCATCCTCAGTAATGCTGGCCACAAGTGTAGAATTCATCTCTTCTGATATGGATTGTGGAATGAGCTGGAGTATCTCTGAAAAGCATGTGTGTCCTGCAGAAGTGTAAATGGATTTATAATATTCACAGACACACTTTTCAATCTCTTCTTCTGTCTCACAAATCTTTCCTCTTTCATTTAACAAACTAGTAATTGCATTTTCTTTTCTCCTTTGCATAACAAGCGCATGGAAGTATTTAGAATTTGAGTCACCTTCTTTTAGCCATTTGACTCTTGATTTTTGATGCCAATATTTTTCTTCAGCTTGGTTGATTTTATCCATCTCTTTTTTCAGGTTATGCCATTCTTCCCAATTTCTGTCACTTCCCATCTTGCTCAACTCTTCAAGTCTTTCTGTAACTTTATTTTTAACCTTCTGCCTTTCATTTTGAAAGAAACTACTCCATCTTAAGAGTGCTAATCTTGTCTCTTTTATTTTCTCTGTAAATTGAAACATTGGAGTCCCATACTTATGACTACTCCAGGACTTCTTCACTGTTTCATGCAGACCTTCCATGCTTAGCCATCTTCTATCAAAATAGAATCGCTTACTTTTGTGGAGGCTGATCTGATCAGATAGGATAAGCAGCCTGTGGTCTGAAGCACTTCTGTAGAAAGTTTCAACTTGGGCATCCTTATGAAAGAGTAGCCAATTGTAAGAACCAAAGACCCGGTCTATTTTTTCTTCTATGAAGTCCTCTGAATCTCTATTGTTTCCCCAGGTGTATTGATGTCCCTTCATGATAATTTCCTGCATCTGCATTTTTGAAATGAACTCATTGAACCCCTTGAGCTCAGATTTTGTTTTAGTTCTTCCTCCACTTTTTTCACTGATATCGCATATGTCGTTCCAATCTCCTCCAATCAACCAGTTATCCCCCCATTTTAGCCTGTTTTGTTCAAGAATGGCTCTTTGTGCTTCTCTAATTCTTCTATCAGTACTGAGGTATACAAAAATAGCCCAAAATGTGTTATGATCTTGTGAGCTTTGAACCTCAACTTCCAAACATAAAGGATGATCCAAGATTTGTAGGATATTGATATTCTTGCTCCACATCAAAAGCAATCCACCACTCATACCTGTTGGATCAACTGCATAATATCTGTCTTTGTACCCAATTTTTCTGCATACTGTATTTACAAAGTCCTTCTTCTTCTTTGTCTCCGAGATGAAAATCAGTTCAGGATGGTGAACTCTAGATGAGTCCTTGATCTGGGAGACTGTAGAGGGCCCACCCAGACCTCTACAGTTCCACAACATTATCTTCATTGGGGGAATTGGGGCCACTTAAGGCTGGCTTCCTCCACCTTTGAGTTAGAGAGTTGATATTTGGATTTTTTTTGGAGCTGGTTGTGTGACTTCTTTGTTTGTCTCCCCTGTGAGGTCTGCTGGTCTTTGTCTTCTTTTTCCTGGATCCATTGGGGAAGAGTGAGATGGTTGTTTCCCTTCTCTTCTTGTTTTGCCTTCAGAATTCATATCTCTCTTCCAACCTTTCCTTTGCTTCTGAGTAGTATTTTGTTGGTTGTCTCCTTGATTAGTATGTGTAGCACTTTCTGGAGAAACCAACATATATTCATCAGAAGTAATGTTGACATGAGGTGATTGGTTATTGATATTTCCCTCAGCCTTCTGAATGATAGCAGGCATATCTCTGGAGCAAGTCCAATCTAAGACTAGCACCTCTTTAAGGTTGTAGAGGGCTAGAGTTGATTCAGTAATAACAGGCTCACAGATCATTTTATTATCTGAATTTAGTTGGGCACCAGGATTTGCGGTTTCAGCAGCATCTTGTGTTTCTTTTACTTTGTTTTGGCTGTCGGATGAAAGAATGAGTTGATTCATTGCCCCTTTGTCATTTTGCTGGTCTGAATTTGAGGTTGGGATTTCATTTGAATTGCTGGGGGGAGTGCTTGTGGAAGGAGAGTTAGGTCCCATGTTACCTTCTGGAGCTTTCATCCACTCTCCAAATTGCCCTTCATTGAAAGAGTTATTTGCTATATCTTCCATTCTCCTTTCACATGATCTTTCTAGGTGTCCAATGATACCACAGTAAAAGCAAAAGTTGATTAAACGTTCATATTGGAATAGCACCATCATTTGTTGATCATGATGTTTTAGATTGGCTACTCTTAGGAGGGGTTTAGTAACATCCACAGATACAAGCAACCTTAAGAAGCTGCCTTTGGATCCCCCTGCTCTAACTACCACCACATTCCATATTTTCTTGAATAACTTCCCAATTTTCAAACCCACGTCTGAGCAAAGCCAATTTAGAGGGATATTTCTAACCCGGACCCATAATTTGAGCTCTGAAAAACCTTCATGTTCTGCCATTAAGCCCACCTCCCATTCCTTCAGAATAAGGTACTGATTTTCAAACATCCAGTGTACTCCGGCTGCCACTTTCTTTTTGTCCTCCACACTTCCAAAAATAAATTGGAAGTAATTGGTTTTTAATTCTCGTACTTCAACCGGTTGCTGGATTTGCCAGATGATGCTCATCGTCTTCTTGATGCCAGAAATATGAGCTTTTCTGTCCCCTATTACTTTTCCAAATAGACTTTTGGTGCACTCTTCTGCACTGAGCCGGACATCTCTGTCGCTTAATTCAATGACCTCATTTTCAGAATTTGATAGTGCTATCTTGCTTAGTTTTAATTCCAGCTCCTCTGGTAATTCTCCTCTGTTTGTTGCTCTCATGGAAGAAGATTCCATGTTTGAGAAATTAAAAAGAGGGTCCTAATAATAGGCACCGATGCAGATGTATAAAGCCTTTAAATTGGAAAGATCTATTGAAATAGCAGATAATTCAACTAGGAAAACGTCGGGATTGAAAGAAATTTACAAGAAAAGATGGATTGAACTCCCTCAGAGTAATGGGAAAAATCAGAATGAGAAATCCCTTCTAGAAGAGAATAGAAAACCCCCTTGGAGTAATTGACCCTTATCCGCCACTAATAAACACATTGAAATAACTTAATTTGTTGTACCACAAGTGTAACGTCCCATGTGAATTTTGCAATGCGTGATGCGCGGAATAACGATTTTAAGGTGGACTTTTATAAATAGAAGATTATTCGATATTAAAAGAGTTATTATAGGCTAGTTGTACCCACGTAAATGAGTCGTCATGCAAAAATCTGTATATTATTGAAAATTTTCATGTACTCAACGTTTTTTGTTTGGTTTGTTGGTTAGTCATCGTGCCCACAGACATAAAATTAAAAGTCTTTATATTTATTATAAAAAATTTAATCAATAAAGATAATTCCTAACTAAAAAAAATTTCAATTTAATATCAGATCCTTTGTAAACTTGGTCAAAGATATTTCGTCAGCTCAACTCAGATTACTAATACAGTTTATATATTAACCAAGTCTAAATTTGTTAAATATAATTTATATATATATATATGGTTAACTATTAATAAACACAATTTTACAGTCATTATATACTTTTTTTTTCATATTTTTAAAATGGTTTAGTGAATTAAAATTGTATAAAAGCTTTCATACTCTTTTTATATTAAATTTCTTTTGTAATGATATTTATAAAATATTATACATACTAAAAAATAATGTTACACTTTCTATTATCCAGAATATTGCATGAAATAGCCCAAAATTGTGTGAATTTTAATTTTAAAGGGTTCAGGTTTTGATAAATTAGATTATGCATTTTCTTGATTTGTAGTTGGCAAGCCATATGATGCAGGGAAGCTGAAGAAAAGTTTTGACCACATTAGTGATGGTTCTGTAGCAAGTGAAGTTACCTTATTATTGTACCCACAATCTAATTGAGTTCTCCTCTGTGGGATATTTTCTCTTTCTAGAGGTATAGTTCCAATATTTGGAGTTTCGATCTGATTCTGAGAGGATCGTCCTTAGATCTTTTCTTCTTTTTAATTTTTGTTCTGTTTCTTCCTTTCGTTTTTGTGGGTTAATAGGATCCTAGAGTTCTCTCATCTTGGTTTAGTGTATTAAGGTTTTTTCTTTTCTGTTCTGTCTGGATGCATCTTAGGGTCAGTGCTTATTGTAGATAGTCACTTTCTGTTTACGATTTGTGTGTGTTTGTACTCTTGGCTGTTCTTCCTTTTGTTCTTTTTCTTTGTACCCTTGTCTCTCTGTCGTAGTGCATCTTTCATCTATAATTCGTGCGGTGGATGGTTCTTTATTCCAATGGCGGAGGATTTCTCAGATAAGCTGCGTAATTTTAAGCTCTCGGATAAGGAGGAGAAGGGCCTGGAAATTTCGGAGGCAGATTTTGAAGTGGGGCTGAAGGAATGTCAACAAAGTCTCTTGGGAAAAATATTTGGGGAAAAAAAGGCAAATTATAACGGATTGAAGGCCACTCTAAACAGTATCTGGGTAACTAAGGAGCAATTTTACATCAAAAGCATAGGCCCGAACCTGTTCCAATTCTTTTTCGAGACCAAAGAGGATAAGGAAAAGATATTGCAAGGAAAGAGCTGGACGTTTGATGGGCAGTATATCCTTCTCAAGGATTGGAAACCAGAAGCGCATGTGTTTACAGAGGAGGATGAGAAGGTTCAGATTTGGGTCCAAATTCATAACCTCCCACTACACTGGTTGACTTTGGAGTTGGGGCTGAGGATTGGGGGAGTTATAGGGAAGGTAGTGAATGTTCAAGTTCCAAGTGCAGAGAGCTCCAATGGGCATATTATGAAGGTGCAAGTTGAGTTGAACCTCAGAGAGCCAATACCAAGAGGCACAAAAATCAAACTAGGGACTCATAACCGATGGGTAAGTTTCAGGTATGAAAATCTCCAATCTTTCTGTTTTTACTGTGGTCTGATTGGCCATATAGACAAAAATTGTCACTCTAAAAAAGATGATCTGGCCAATAATGTGCTAAACATGGGGCAATATGGAGAATGGTTGAAAGTGGGCCCTAGTTTTTTCAGTGAGTCTAAGTCTTATAAATCATCCAGCTCAGGAGGAGGAGGTGAGGGAGATACTGATAAATCATCCAACCAAGTCCTGAGATTGGAGTGTCCTAGAGTGAGTGCAGGGGAAACCTCATGGAGAGGTGACCCTGTGCAGCCAAATCAGAATAGTACCCAAAGAGGGGTTGATAAGATAGGGCAAGAGGGGAGTGGTCCTGAGAGTAGAATTCATTCTGATCCCACAGATTTAAATGTTTGTCAGTCCACTTTGGAGACAGTTGAGAGAGAAGCTCAACTTGTGGAAGTGGAAGTCCAGCCAGCCCCAATAGATAACAGGAGTTCTTCCAAGAGGAGGAAACCAATCTTGAGGAGGCTAGAAGATAATACTCTAAAAGTGTCTGCAAATATGGATGTGGATGCAGATGGAGAAAACTTTGAGTCTGTGGGAGTTAAGTCTGTATCTAATAAGAGAATTTTGGAGGATTATCTTCTTACATATCCTGGTTTTGAAATATCTGAAAGTAAGAGTAAAAAGCCCAAAATAAATGATAATGATGAGATCAAGAAGGGAGGGGACCAGCCATAATAGGTCCTCAAGGTCAAAATGAGAGTATGTATGTGGAATTGTAGAGGTTTGGGAGGACCCTCTACAATTTCCCAATTGCGAGAAGCCCTTAGGGTTCACCTCCCTGATCTTATCTTTCTTTCTGAAACTAAGAAAAAAGAGAAATTTGTTTTGACAGTCTGCAAAAAATTAAAAACTTATGACAGATGGATATATAGTAATCCAGTAGGTACTAGAGGTGGGCTTTTGTTATTTTGGTCTAATAGAGTCAGTATTTTAGACTCTTTTTGTTTGGACTTCTGCATTGAAGTCAAATTTTGTGTTTCTGGCAGTAATCTTGTTCAGTGGGGAATTTTTGTATACTCCAGTACTGATCCTCAGGTGAGATACTCCCAATGGGAGTTTCTGAAAACCCTTAAGAGGGACTGGGGGGATTTTTGGTTCCT